TAAGTGGAGTGTCTAGATAAAAATCATATTCTTGTTCGAGTATTTAATGGCACTTACCTAAGCGAGTAAAAGCGAAAGTAATAAAAAAAACGTGAGCTGAAATAATCAGATAATTTTTAGTCGATTTATGAATTTACCAGAACAGGCTGCAAGTGATGTTGGTCCTGGTAAGACTGCTGAAGTTGGACTGCAGCTGCTGCAGTCAGTGCTGCGGAATGGCGCTGATGCTGATTACAACGCGCCTGCTGATGCTGTTGTGTATGACCTAAATAGGAAGTAACCATGAGGGCTGCAGCTGCAGAGACAGCTGGATCCTGTCCAGCCTGATTTATAGTAGCGTTTGACACGACATTTTGACAAGCCGATGGAGGAGTAAAGGTTGATTCTAGAATGCGTTGATTGTTTAAGTGCTGTTGTTGATAAAAGACTGCGGCTGCTGCAGCAGCGGCAGCTGCTTGCTGATGTTGTTGGGGGTTTGAATGTGAATTGGATGAAACGGAAGGAGCGGCAAGCGAATGATGCGAGCCACCATGATGGCCACTAATCAAGCTAGAGGGGGAAGGATCAATGCTTTGGCGAGGAGGGTGTCTAGCATAGTGTTGCTGGTGTGCGACAGGCGCTAGGGACGCGGCGGCAGGGACAAAACCACCACTATTAGCCACAGACACAGTGGTATTCAAAACTGCAGTGGGCGAAGTTGAGGCGATTGCTGCTGCATTGAGCAAAGTAAGAGCATATCCACTGGCGTCTACTAAGTCGTAAAATGAAAGAGAGGCACGAGGCATGGCAGGGTTAGTCGAGGTAGTGTGTGAAGCAATGGATGAATGCAAATGAGTTGAAGCCTGACGATGCTGTTGATCCTGATGATAGGCCGCAGCCGCCACAGCGGCTTCAAGCTGAGGAACGAGAGATGGAGTAGATGTGATTGGTTTATGAAAGACTTGTTGAACCTCGATAGCGCCCGAGTGCTGGCATTGTCGCTGCTGTTGTTGTGTGGCCAATAATGCCGCGGCAGCTGCAGCAGCTCTAGCAGCATCAACGCTTGTATGATGAGGTGCATACATGGAATGTTGAAAATGAGTCTGGGCCGGCTGATTGGATGAATTTCCAGGAATAGAAGCAGGCTGAAGTTGATATCGTGGAGTATAGCTGGGAGCAGGAGTTGCTGCAGACGAGACAACGGAAAGATGTTGGCTTGGGTGGATGTGCTGTCGAATAAGATCACCGCTTTTTACGGGCTGATGAATGGGGGCTAATGAAGATGCAATAGATGGCTGGGTTGGAGGTATTACCGAAGCTGTAGCAGCGGCAGCTGCAGCAGCAGCATAGTAAGCTGCAGCCTGGTGATGCTGTGGCGTCAAATGACAGTTAGTTGGCACATGTGTTTGATGAGCATTCAATGCAGAAGTTTCCGGATGGGCAATAGTTTGCGTTACAGCAATAGGAACAACTTGCTGTGGAAGTATAGCCGCAGTGGTGACTGCACCATGATGAATGTTTTGGGATAGAGTGTTAGAAGTCACTCCAAACTGAGAAAGATGCTGCTGTGTCGCCGGTTGCTGATAAGCCAAACTAATACCAGGAGGAAGGCTATGACGATTAAAAGCGTTACCGGAGACATCTAGGGTCAGTTGTGATTGTCTTCTTGCAGATTCATAGCAAACTTGCATAAGCGCTATCGATTCTTTTGTGCTATAACCGAGATGAATAAAAAATGTATAGAAGACGTTAAATGATTAAATAAAGAAAACAATTAGCAAAAGCCTCACCGGTTGCGATAAGGATGGGCATGCAAGTAGATCATAGTGATAAAAGGATGAGCGAGGGCAGCGTCTGGAACAATTCTTTCGGCGGAGCGTAACCTGAGCATGAGCGTTAGCAAATGAGCAAAATGACGTCTATCCTCAATTTCGAGATCATAATCTGGATCTTGAATGTCAGGAAGGCCAGAAACCTCGCGGATCTGATCCAGAGATGCAAATATATATTTACGCGCTTCTTTTGGCTGTTGGCCAGTTTCAAGAAGATATTCATCTTGGGTTTTCAACCTCCAATCATAGGTATACGAATCGCATACAAAAAATCTGCTACCCTTCCCAGCATGCTTAATGAGATCACGAGGAGGAAGTCCTTGGGTCTCAACTATATATCGTATCTGAAAGTGAATGAAAAACATTCAAATTGGGATAAGGGATACTGATAATAATTATAAAGGACGATCTGCTCACTTGATCATACTCAGAAGAACCAGGATATAAGGGCCATCCGAGAAACAACTCAGCCATCACACATCCTAAAGACCACATATCTATTGCTTCATTGAAGGGAACTCCAAGAAGAATCTCAGGAGCTCGATAATAACGAGACTGAAGATAGGTATTTTGCACAGCTTTGGAGCTATGGCAAGCAGATCCGAAGTCAATTACCTTGACTCTATAGCGCGTATTCCTACCAGCAGGAGATACAAGCATGATATTTTCTGGCTTTAAGTCTGCGTGAATGAGTCCAAGAGTTCTGAGCTTAGAAAGTGCAGTTAAGACTTGTTGAGCAATTGGACGGATTTCGCGGAGAGCTAAGGGCCGGAATTTGTTTGATTTGAGATACTCATAAAGGTTTTGCTCCAGCAGCTCAAAAACTAGGCACATGTGGTTTTTATGTTGAAAGCACTCAATTGCTCGCACAATGTTATGAGACTCTGTATCCTGCTGGCTAAGTGTCTGTAAAATCTGGATCTCAACGTTTCCCTGACGAAGATATGAAGGATGATTCTTCAAAATTTTAATGGCAACAGAGCGACTACTAGATCT